TCGCGCAGTGCGGCCACCTGCCGCTCAAGGGCGTCGTTGCAGCGCTCTAACCTGTGGTGAGAGTGCAGCATCCACTTTTCCGTGATCAATTGTCATTTGGTCGAAAACAGCACGGAGGCCAAAAACCTTTTGTATTTTTGTACCTGTGTATCCTAGCCTGGTACTCGCTCCTCTGCTGGGCCATCTGCTGTCGAAGTTCAGTCAGGAGCGACTCAGCATCATCGGGCTCGGATGCTGAAGGTTCCGGAGGGCCAGACGGGAGGAACACCTCTGAGCTGCCGGTGCTGAGGGGGCTGAGGATCGAGCCGGATGTCGGCGTGTTCAGATGGCGTCCTCCGTCAAGGTCACTTTCCGTGTCACCGTCGAGGTGTTTGTCATCTTCTGCAGCTTGACTCGAGGGGGATCTCATCGGTTTCAAGTCAGGACCAACTCGACCCTCGGGATCGCTGCCCTGGTCCGGCTGTAAAACCTCGCAGGAGGACCACGACGAGGAGTCGTCTACGGTCTGCCACGCCTCCTCTGATTCCTCGCCGGAGTTGCCCTCACCGTTGGGGTCGAAATGTTCACCGGCGACATCCTCCATGGTCTGACGAGAAGGCGCTCTGTTCAGGTTGTCATAATCCGATGGGGTGCTGTCTTCCTGCACCTCACTGCCGCCTCCGCCGGCCGCTTGGGGACCCTCGCCTTCTGCCCCTGCGATCTGGGTGGCGCTGGAACTCCACAGGTGCTCGCCTGCCACTGCTGCGGGGTAAGAGAGTACAAATGTTTCGTTACTGGATTTAAGTAGATAGTATTACTTTCTTGAATGACTTTTAACTTTCACTCCCTGCACTTGAAAACAGATCTCTACTTTTAATAGGTAAACGAGTTGAATCCGTACTGCAGCTTATACCAGAGTATTTTTTTTTTCACAAGTCTCCGTATTTCTACTCAATTACAGACTGTGAGTACTTTTGCCACCTCTGTCGCCTGCCTCTCCCAGACTGGTCCAGACCTCCATCCAGCTACAAACATTTGCGGGGGATGATCCACCGGTGGTTAGGCACTGATGTAGATCTCTCGTCTTCTCCTGGCCGTGGTTGTGCAGGGGCTGACTTGAGGAAGGTAGCGGGTAGAAGCAGTTTTCCGGATGCGACGAGGTGTAGCGATGGCCAAGGAAAGTCTTGTTGTCTGAGGTTACCTCTGACGTGGCTGCAGCTGAGGGGATAAAGCTGCAGCAACAAGTCAAACAGGTATCTACACTGACTTCTCACTTTGTCAAAATGGATGTGTTAGTTCTTTCAATCGCTGCCGATGATGATGATGCGATGTTAACAGAGCCGTCAATGTTCCTTGAGGGTCTATTCTAAATCCACTGGATTTTAGTGTGAATATTTTTGCCCCCTGTGGGTTAAAGGGTCTTCATGCAGGATTTAGAGATGGTTGAGAGCGTGATTTCACAGTCAGAAATCCAGAAGGTACCTAGTAGCGTGTCCCGGCTCTCTGCACCGCTCTGCAATAAGCGGTAGCGACATCTGGCGAAGGCAGGGCGGCTGGTGCAGATGCGGTCGTCTGAGAGCACCGGGCGAAGCGCGAAACCCTCTGGCAGTATACGCAGGAACTCTGGGAAACAGGGACTGGTGCTCTCTGATCAGCTCCAACATCAGCCCTTGAACTTGCGCTGCACCTGGAACACAATCCTTCAAAGGTCTTTCTGACACTTAAGACCTCACCGCCGAAGCCTTGTGAGTTGGCGTTTACCTCCCATGATGCTTTCCGGGTCCTCTGCTTTGGCCCGAAGAATGTTTGGTCCAAAGACTGTGGCTAAATTCTGGCAGCTCATCTTGTTCCCTTTTGAGTGACTCTGTACCTCGTTGAGAAATCTGTGCGCAAAGCGAAGACTTACAACAGTGGCACCTTGACCGAGCAGCGCTTTAACTCGTATTCGATAGTTATTCTGTAGGTCTTACTGGCATATAAACTTAAGAAGGTTGAAATTGGCCACAGGTAGCTCCTGAAGAAGATTCCTCAACTCCCCCAAGCCCTGTCATTGCAAAAAGAGGGGTTGAAGTGTACTTTTCAAAAGTCCAATTTCTCACTCTTTTCCATATTTTCATTTTTTTTTGGAGTGGCACCTCACCTGCGTGCGGTCGCTCGAAAGCTTTTGGCCACTGAGCAGGAAGTCCTGGTAGTGACTGAAAGGAATCAAAGGCTCCGGCAGCTGTCGCAAGTAGAGCTTCAGCAGCGACGCCACCGTGTGGACATCTGTATTACTGCAAACACATCAAGCTCAGTTGAAATGACCGACTGCGCCACAAACCCCAAAAAGTCGGTGGCGGACCTGTCGAAGGAAGGCCTTTCGCCTGCATCAAAGGCCTCCTGCAGCTCCCTCACCAAGCTCGCCCGTCCCGGCTGACGAAACAAGCCCACCTCCTGGAGGCCCCGCTCTCGTATGAAGGCCACACACTGCTCCACCACCAGGGGAACCGAGCGTACGCCGTAACGACGCTCGTACAGCACCGTCTCCTCCAGACGCTGACCGAACACACCTAAGCCGGAGTCGCAAATAAGTTGCGTCGCAGTGGCAGACAGGGTAAGATAAGTAACGCCAAACTGCAGTGATGCCGTGCTTAACACCTCAGTATGGCTTCTCTTTAGTATCTTAGATCACTCTTAGGCTCTTTTACTTTCTCACGATGCAATCCCAATAGAAAAGGCCAATAAAAGTTACTTAGCAATGGGTGAAGCACATTCCGTACAAGTTCTAGGGTGAAAACCAAGTATCCCAAAAGGCTCATTTTGTTTACCTGTGAAGGGAATCCAGACTCCAGACTTGTTGAGGCTTTTCAGCCACTCGTCCCCCTGGCCGGCGCTATTGGACAGGAAGAAATACGAGCCCGGGCTGGCCAACACGTCTCTGTTCCCTGCGCACACCAACCCAAACGTGCTCTTTATGGTTCTGGCATTGAAGGGACAAGTCCCCATCCCAAAGCGTTTGTTTAGCCAGTCACGAGGATGTGAGATCTTTTTTTTTTTTTTCTTTTTTCAAGACGAGCCAAGTTCAGCTGTAGAGCAGAGGCGACTTAATGAGCCAAAGAGGAAATTGGATTACGTTGAGGAAAGATAAGATCACAGGAGGACGAGTCTCCAACCATCTCAATTACTGTCAAGACAGTGTTTGCTGACTTCCACTAGACCTTTTACGGTGCATGGAACCAAAATTATATTGAAATTACAACATAGGTATCATATTTGTTAAGAGTCACAAGCTGTCAAACATTCCACACACACACACACACACACACACACACACACACACACACACACACACACACACACACACACACACACACACACAGCACTTCTCTTTCCTGTCGTGCTTCACTCTCCCCCTCCTCCCTTTCAAAGTCAAATTGAGAACTTTCAAATCCCTGAGTCATCATTTCATCTCAAGGACGCACGTCGTCATTCACGCGATCTGCTGGGATGAATGTGATGGTTGTGTGGATGTCACCTTTGAGGCCCGTTCTGTCATGTTTCCAGGACTTGAAGCAGCTGAGTCCCATGCTGCAACACTCCCGCTCTCACTTTGCTCGCCGGTTGCCGCAGTAACAGTAATTGTAGATGCTCAAGTGCAGACAATAGAAAGTTGAGCCGTTTTTAAAGTGAAGTTGCTTGAAAGTGCGCCGCCTCCGGCTGTATGCACTCCCCTTCCTGGTGGAACATGAAGAGATTCCAATCTGGGCTGTTATCGTGGTTCATGTCGATGACTTCTTCAGCTAGCCACGGGATCAATTCCCTCTCGATGCATCCTGGGATTGACTGGCAACCCGTCTTGTGGGCCACTAAGTGGAAGAGACTTCAACCCCTACCCTGACCATCACCCAATAACAACTGGAGAGATGGGTGATTCTGGAAAAGATGGAATGGTTCACGTTGCTGACCCGCATTGAATCACTTCCGACTCAGTGTGTCCTGGTGACCAGTTCAGGGTGTGGTGACCACATCTGACCGGTCCAAGGTGTAGTCTGCATAGAAGATAAACTGCGGGCCCACCACCTGGCCAGGGCAAGGGATGGTGGCCCTGGAAAAGATGAAATGTTTCACATGGACCTTCCTTCACCACTTTGGTGCCCGCTGTGCTTGGCTCAATTGTGACCAGTCTCGGGTGTCATCTGGCCTACCGCTGAACAGGAGAAGCCAAGCAACATTGGAGAATTGGGCGAGCGGTCTTGGAAAAAAGAGCCCATGGAGATGACAGGAAATTCTAGAATATACTACAAACCTACGATATTGGCTCCTTTTGCGGAGGATGCAGGAGAATATTCCGCTGTGGAACTCATCAGGCTTAGCATGGAAAGTAGAGACCCCGAAGGCGTGTTAGGTGGCATAGAAAATACATGGACGAACACCATCCCTCGTTCCCCCCTGTCGACGAGTATGATTTTCCCCACTTTTGTCCTCAACTCTCTCGTCCCTGTGTAAGGACATCGACTGCTTTGTGGGTAATCCTGCAGCTGCCGTTAGACTTTGTGAAGCAGCACGTGCCTCGCCAAAGTTCCAAGCCACAGTGTAAACAACCGTCTGTTTACGAATAAATCGAGCAACATGACTCATGAGTTTGGAAAGCAAAACAAAATGCCAACAAAAGGCTGGCTTCCAGTTAATGAGTGAAAGGACGACCTTCAGACTGCTGCCTATTTTGGATGGCTGCATATAAAGCACAAACAGAGGAGGATCAGTTTCACGCAGAGAGCTGTGGAGGAGCGAGATTTGACATGCTGGCAAGACATTGAAGCCTTTTGCTGCCGCATGCATGACTTTGGGTAGGTGCACTTTCGAGGATGTCTTTGTTCATCCAGTGTTTCCAGAGGAGGCTGCTTCTATGCGATGAGATAGACTTTGTCTAGAAACTTGGTGAAGCAGCATGGGGCTCGTTGCCCAACGTTCCAAGTGGCAATTGTATGTTTATAAAAGTGAGGCGCTGACCTGCTTCTCCCTGCTTTTTTTTTTTCCTTTCTTTCTTTTTCTTTTTAAACCCAGCAGGCTTTGCACTGCAGGCATACCGTGGCGTCCACAAGCCCAGTGCCGCGGAGGTCATGAAGTCACAGGCGACCTCCCGGTTGGCCGACGGGCCCGACGCCCAGAGGGCAGCCGCCCCGCCCAAGATGGAGATCCCAACGGTGGACGGGCGGCGGCAGGGCGCTCGCCCGCACAAGCTCAAACCGCGCGACATGAACATCTTGACGCCCTCCGGCTTCTAGATGACAGCGCCCGTCATGTTGCCCGATTGCCTGCCACTCTGACGAGGTCACGGTTTGCCTTTTAGCAGCTTTCAGTCCGCTACGTTCCATCTCAAAATGGCAGCTTCGATGTAGAGTGGAAATCCCAATTCACAGCATCATCAGTGATTGACTCAAACGATTTTTTTTTTTTTGACGCCCTCCGGCTTCTAGATGACAGCGCCCGTCATGTTGCCCGATTGCCTGCCACTCTGACGAGGTCACGGTTTGCCTTTTAGCAGCTTTCAGTCCGCTACGTTCCATCTCAAAATGGCAGCTTCGATGTAGAGTGGAAATCCCAATTCACAGCATCATCAGTGATTGACTCAAACGATTTTTTTTTTGTAGCTTTTTAAATATTCCTCACAGCACAGAGGAGTTAAAAGCAAAATGCAGGACAACTATTCTTCAAAACAGGAAACAAGGAGGCGTTGGTACAGTGATGCTGTCCCCTCATGGTGTTTTAGAGTTGCAAGCATCTGTCAAACAGTTCAATGGTCATTTTTTTTCAAGTGCTTGGTTAATTATAATTCAATTAATTATAAATAATACGGTAAAGTGAATATGATGAAAATCCAATTTTTTTTCAATCCTACTTTTGTGCACAGGAAGTTCGCTTAGCTCCGCTATACCGAAATATATGCAGCGGGATCTATTTAAACCTGTGCAAATTGTCACTCGTGAAAAAGTGATTTCCGAATAATCTTGCCATGATCCTTTCAAAATGATTGAAGAAGCCCGTCCTGTAATTGCACTTTATACCAACCATCATGATCTGCTTAATTAATCCGGGGAAGATGTTTGAAGTATACTGAAGTAACAAAATTGTGGTCTCGGGACAATGCCTGACCCACTTGTGTTGTGATGGTTCACTTTTCTACTTTTTTTTTTTTTTGTCTTCCTTGCCTCTCTATTGTTTAGATGGTTTCATGACTAGTGTAGTCAGTACATGATAGAAGTACGTTTAGTTTGTTTTTCAAATTGTCAAAAAAGAAGCAACACGGCTTAATTGCAGCTGTTATTGCAATGGTTCTCATATGTGAAGCTTGTATTCTCTCTTTTTTCTGTTGTAGTTGCACTTTTTTGTTGTTTTAGTTCTTGCACTTTTATTTTCAGTAAGTGCACCAAGTGGTGTCACTGTTACTTTGGCGTGGCGTTCCTTTCCCTTGAAAAGAAAAAAATAACAGCATCTGTGAATATGACTTTTTGTTCACGTCTAAAGGTTGGCAGAGTTCTCCACGGTCCTTACTGGGGAAAAAAACATGTAACACTCCTTGGGAATTTTGAGAGAGAGATAAAAAAGATAACCGCCGACACCGGTTTCACCAACTGATACTGCATGTAAAATGTACATAAAATTGTACCAAAATAAATGTTTGAAAGCAAGCAGTTCTAAAAGATACAAATGCAATGTGTACTAATCAAATGGACTGTCCTTGATTTAAAAAAAAAAAAAAAAAAAAAAAACAGGAGGCGGTTAACACACT